AGAAAGAAATTGAACCATAACTACATACACCAGCTAATGGAATTCTGATATGATTATTCCATTTCCATATTCCCTAGGGAACTTACAAAACTCTTAACATACTACAAATACAATAGCAACATTGATGACAAAAGTTTTCAAAAGCAATAGATACTATTTATTGAGTGCTTACCATGTACCAGACATTATCAAGTGCTTAACAAAGTAGTGTTATTTAATTCACACACCACTTTAGGTATTATTATGCTTATTTTATAACAGAAGAAACTAAATCTTAAAACGTATTAGTAACTTACCAGTGTCACACAATAAGTAGATGACAGAGACAGCATTTTAATAAAAGTCTGTCCATCATGCAGTAGATATCAAGCTGAGTGCCATGGGAAGCCAACCTGGGTGTGAGTTTGGTGCTCCACTCTCTAGCTACATGTCCTTGGGAGTTACTGAAACTCTCACTGCTTTCATCTCCCATATTTATAAAATGAGGGCAATAATGCTATCTAGCCATTATAACATGTTTGACACAGTTAAATAAGATAATGAATGTAAAACTCTTAAAACTTCACTCAGAATATAGTGCTCTCTTACTTAATAAATGATAACAAATATTCATAGAAGAAATAATTGCTATTAACTCGAGAAAAATATACATTTTGAAATAAACACACGATTAACTTAAGCTGATAGTATAACTTCAAATTTTTAGGTAATCCACAAAATATAAAATAAATAAGACAGAGAAATTTCAACCAGCCCTCAAGTTCTTGACAACTATTAACATTTGCCACCCACTTCTGTCTGATTATCAGTGTTATCACCTCTTCTGCCCCTATAACTCCAAACTGTGCCATTTAAAAGATGCATTTCTAAAATTAAATGCTGAGTTGTAATTTCCTAATGATTTGTCAGCAATTACCACATACTAATAGTTCCAATCAAATTTTAAAAATAATTTAATAAAGCATTTTTATCAATGTTAGAAAGTAAGCAATTTCTATCAATATTAGAAAAATATTTTATTTTAGCAAACTTTTTAAAAATTTTACTAAAAAGTCTTCTTAAAATTCTTCCCAAGTCTTCTTCTGCTTTTATCCATATGTAGCCATAGTTGGAAAGACACCATGAGGGAATTTACGTTTGTTTTATACAGATTTGTGTGAAAACAGCCTCATATGATTATCTCTTTTGCGTTTAGAATTTTAAGTTTAAAATTTTTAATTGGGCATTTTTTTGTTGAAAATTAAACAAAAAATCATAGATACAATGATTATTAACCAGAATTCTAACTGAGGGAAAAAAAAGCAGTATTTGTATAATGCTTTTGAATTGGGTGCTGAGGGCAGATGACCCCGACAGCATGTGAATGTAAACTGAGCAGTTCCAGTTTACATTCCAAGAGAAAGGATTAATTCTCTTGTTCTACAGAGTTAAAGGAGAAACATGAAGAAGGAGTCTGCTTAATAGCCAAACTAGCTAAATGATCAGGTCTAAGCAGGATTCTGTTGTTTTGTCGGGTTTTGTTTTGTTTTTGATAGAAACTTGCTGGATTTTTCAGGAGGATGCTTAAGGGCCCAGAACTAATGAATCTAAGCAAGACATTGAGAGTAGTTTGAGTGACTTGCTGAGGTCTCTATATAATGATTCTAGAGGGATGCACACTTATACTCCATTTGACCTCATTTAAAGTCCTCCAGCATAAGAAAATCAAGAATTCACAAAAATCACATAGAACACATTTAACTCTCACAGGGCTGGAGAAGTGAGATTTGAAATACATTTAATCATGTTTCCAGAAAAAGGGGGATTTAACTGACACAAGAAGACTATATACAGTAACATAAAATAGTGAAATCATAGCCAAATATATATGATTTTAGATTATCAGTCATTTTACTTACAAGAACATTGAAGTGTAAAGAAATTTTGATACTAGCCTACGATAAACCCCAAGACTTTATGTTTGTGTTTAAGCCCTTTAAATCCATATAAATTCTATGATTTTTATGTATTCATTATCTTCTTAATCTAGAAATAATGAAGGAGACGAATTCACCAAAGTGATAATGGCTTGTCTACATATCCTTATAGTTCTATCAATTGTGCTTTAAATATCTTGAAACTTTGTTTTTAAAGACTTTCTCAAGTTTAAAATTGTTGTATTTTTTTATGACATTAACCTTGTATCATTATGCAGTGAAGCTCCATCTCTAGTAATGCTTTTTGTGTTAAAATCCATTCTGGCTAATATTAGTATACTGATTATTCTCTTTTTGGATGGAAATTCTCCTGTATATATGTTCTTTGATTACCTAACTTTCAACCTCTAAGTGGTATTATGTTTCATGTTATTTATATATATATGCTAATAACCTTGTTTTTAACTTAAACATTTAGTCATTTATACTTATTGCACATACTTAAATATTTTCTTATTATAATCTGTATGAGTTTGCTAAGGCTGCCACTACAAAATACCCCAGACAATGCCTTAAACGACACAATTTTATTTTCTCACAGTGCTGAAAGTTATAAGTCCAAGATAGTTGAAGGTGTTAGCACGTCTGGTTTCTTGTGCAGGCTTTTTCTTTGCCTTACAGGTGGCAGTCTTCTTGCTGTGTCCTCACAGAATCTTGACAGTGTACACGTGCACCCCTAGCATATCTCTGTGTGTCCACATTTATACAATCAGCTTGGATTAGAGCCCACCCTAAAAAGCTAATTGTAATGTATTCACATTTTGATAGGCTCGGTCTTCAAATATAGTCACCTCTGTGGTACTGGAATTCAGGGTGTCACCTATGAATTTGGGAGAACACAATTGAACCCATAGCACTATCTTTACATTTTGTGTATTTTATTTTTCCTGACTCTTCTATATTTTCCTTTTAGCTTTTGCATTCTATTTAATTGATTTATTACTTTTTCTCGCCTTATATATCTCACTATAATTTAAAGGTCATATATATACTATTTCTTATTTCTTAATAATCATCCTAGATTTATACACATGTATTTATCAAATTCTAAAATTGATGAATATATTTGCCCTCATTCTGAAAAATTCCAAGACATCACAAGACTTTAATCACTCCCTCCCAACATATATGTTTATTTAAAAGATTTTAAACATATTATTCTTTCTATATTTAAAAACTCATTATTGTTGTTTTATACAGCAATATTTGTTTCTATTTACTTCTATATTTGCAACTGTCTTTCATTATAATTTTCTTTATCTTTGACTTGCTAGCTAGAATCATTTCCTTTTGCTTGAAATATATCCTGCAGAATTTCTTTGAGCTATGATCTGTTGTTGGTCAAGTTCCTCCTTATTATTATTATTATTATTATTATTTATCTGAAGATGTATATATTTTGCTCACTGGAAAGAATTTTCTCTGATGGTACAGTTCTTGGATAATTGTCATATTTTCTGGACTCATTAAAGATAGTATTTCATGCATTTTTTATTTCTCAGCTTTCTGTTGAGGCAACACGTTCTATGAGCCTCTGTCTCTGAAAGGGTGGAATTTGTTTCCTGCATCCTTACCCTTCAAGATCATGGAAACCTTGCTCAAATTCCCTGAGGTTGGGCAAATGCTTACAGGGCAAAGATTATTTTAAAGCCCTGCTCTCCTCCCTGGGTTCCCACTTTCACTTAGTTTTTGAACTCTGAGTATTTCTTTTCCTTGCTAGAACATCAATGCATTTTACAAGTTATTGTTTTAGATTTTACTCAGAATTTTTATCTGTTTTCAGTAGGAAGGTTAGTCACAATATCTAAACTGCCATTCTTCTGGAGAAATAAGTCTGGTTAATCTCTCATTTAAAGAGTCGGGAGGGATATTTTTCTTTTTCTGTTAATAGAATTTCATTTAAGGGGGCTTCTCTCTCTCTCTGAGTTTGTGTGTCTGTGTGTGTGTGTGTGTGTGTGTGTGTGTGTGTGTCCCAATATGACATAATTGATATCAGGAGCAAGCTTGATGGTGAAAAGATGCCAAGTACCTTTAGATATGTATATAAATATTAAGAATTATAGCTTATGTCCTTGTTTAACAGGTGCAGCATTGCTAGTCATTGGTCTGCAGTGTGAGTCTTAGGAAGTCTCTGAGTTACTATTTGTTTATAATTTGTGCTGCAGAATTAAAGAAGTGGCTTAAAAGCATGGAGAAATTGATACTAATTTACATGGAGTTATTTGGGCAAAATGAAAAGGGCTGAGGATTGAAATCTATGTAAGATTACACACAGGAATAGAAAGAATGCTAGTTCCTCTTGCCATATCTGTGGGACATATAACTAATCCATCACAACACTTTGTCCTCTTAACCAAGAACTTCACTGAGAATCCTTTTTAGCACAATATTCTCAGTATTCAATGCTAAACAACCAGAATAAGCAATCCAGGTGAAATCTATTAGCATAATAATAACTAATTGTTAATTGTATCTCCTTTGTTTTTTTCCTTTTTCAATTGGGATATTGTTAGTAACACTTTTTTGTTAGTTTGTTGGTTTGTTTTGTTTTGAGAGGGAATCTTGTTCTGTAGTCAGGCTGGCGTGCAGTGGCAGGATCTTGGCTCACTGACAACTCCACCTCCGGGTTCAAGCGATTCTCCTGCCTCAGCCCCCTGAGTAACTGAGATTACAGTCACACACCACCACGCCCGGCTAATTTTTTGTAGTTTAATAGAGAAGGGGGTTCACCATAATGGAGAGGGTGATCTTGATCTGCTTACCTTGTGATCCCGCCCGCCACAGCCTCCCAAAGTACAGGCCTGTGCCATCCCGCATGGCCAGTAACGTGTTTTTGTTGTTTTTCTTTTTCTTTTTTTTTAAGGTGTAGTGGGGGGAAAATAATCTGTTCAATGTTATGACCACTCTTTTGGAGGCCTGCTTCCTAAGGTCACTCGTGGTGTTTTACATTATTCTATCCTGTAGCATTCAATAATAAATCAGCTCTTTTATGTTTTTCTCTTACTCTTTATTCTGCACTACCAGTCCGTGATCTTTATTCGTGACAGAAATTCTCATGGGCAAGAGATATCAGGATACATCGACTATGCCCACAGGCTAAAGACTGAAGATTTTGAAGTCTACTTTAGCGGGAAAAAAAGACTTCTTCCAAGGCCCAAAGATATGAGGTAAATAATATACAATTCTTGCATCCTTAGAGGCAGGGACAAAGACTTTTTATTTTACGGTCAATATTGTGCCTAAAATGCTAATGTATATATAATAGGAATGTGATACAACTGATTATTAATATGAAAAGAATTAAATCTTAAAATAAGGAATAAGCATAGGTCCATTTTTTCCATTAATAACCTGAGAAAAAGGACTCTTCAGAGACAAGATAAATAAATGCCCAGTGACACTCCTTTTCAATTATAAGTAGTCCCTAAAATTTGCTAACCTCATGAGGCTTTTGCAGCACTCGGGACTTGGTCTGCCCAGAGCCTCAAGAGCAGCTCATCTAACACGTTTTGCTCCACTTTTCTTTGGTCGCCAGCCAAAGTGCTGGCCTCTGACCAGCTCGCCCTCATTTCTCTCATCTCTGCCCTATTCCGGGACACCCATTCCTTCACACCTATCATTCTTTTTACTACTGACCCTTGCCTTTTATTCTAGAACCCTTGTCTATCACCTAGGATCTATTCTATTCTACCTATCTATCCACAGATGGGTTTTTCTACTTCTTTCTACATATCATGCAAGCTAAAACATTTTATTCTCTCTTACTTAAAGATAGCACCCAAAATTAAGTAGCAGCATTCTGCTTTAACTCTCCAATACTGTATTCAGATCATTATTTGATAATTGTAACAATACTTACCTCCTCTGAGATGCCTGTTATCTTCTGTCTACCCTTATTGATATTATCTGAAGACTTCCTAACCCATCACCACTTTTGTTGTTGTTGTTAATGAGACAGTGTCTTGCTCTGTTGCCCAGGCTGGAGTGCAGTGGCACCACCTTGGCTCATGGCAACCTCTGCCTCCAGGGTTCAAGTGATTCTCCTGCCTCAGCCCCCCAAGTAGCTGGGATTACAGGTGCACACCACCATGTCCAGCTAATTTTTGTATTTTAGTAGAGATGGTGTTTCACCATATTGGTCAGGCTGGTCTCAAACTTCTCTCCTCAGGTGATCGACCCAACTCAACTTCCCAAAGTTCTGAGATTACAAGCGTGAGCCACCACGCCTGGCTCCCATCACCACTTTAATGGATTTAGCACTTTTCTATTTAACCTAGGATAACATATCACTTAACTTCTTTCTTGCAATAATCCCCATTGCCCATGTCTTTTTGGTCTTTGGTTATATCTGACCTAATGACATTCCAAAGTAGATTGATCCAGACATTTTTTTCACAGCACTTGTAGCTACACCCCTGGGTACTGCTGAAGAAATTTCTGGGAAATTTCACAAAGGTGTGGATGGCTGCTGCTTATGATTTATGGTTTCCAAACTCAATCAAGCCCTTTGTGACTCTTAAAACTTGTGTTCAAAATTAAAGTCATTTTAATTCCTGAAGCCTGCTGTTGCTTCTGTATCACCTCTCCTGGCAAATGACACCACCCTTGAAACCAAAGACAAAATCCAGATGTTATCCTAGACCCCTTGCTTTTCATCTCCACCCTTATAACTAATAATTTTTAAAAACCTGAATTCTATTATCTTAACTTTTTTGTTAAAGCAAATGTAAGGTATCTAATTTAACCTGCAAACACTTCAGCATGGATCTTTATCTGATAACATTTTTAAAGAAAACATCATGGCATTATGATACCTAACAAAATACTTTCCTTAATGTCATCTAATACTTAGTTCATATTTCATTTTCACCCTTGTTAACATTTAATTGACTGTCTAAATTTTTTCTTGCAGTTGGTTTGACCAATCAAAATTTGAGTTATATTATGTTTTGTTATACTATATCTTGACCCTTTGCATCTTTTTTTCTTTATGACAGTCCCTCTCTTTCTTTTTATCTTCTATGCTATTTATTTGTTGGAGAAGCCAGGTCTTGAAAAACATTGCCCTGACTATCCCTCCCCACCTCCCCCTCCCACTGCCCCCCCTTTTCCCCCCAATAGACCCCAGTGTTTAGTACTCCCCTTTCTGTGTCCATGTGTTCTCATTTTTCATCACCCACCTATGAGTGAGAATATGCGGTGTTTCATTTTCTGTTCTTGTGTCAGTTTGCTGAGGATGACGTTCTCCAGATTCATCCATAAATGGCTCATATTCTGGATGTTACTGATCCGGTAAAATCCTGCTGTTTGTTCTATTATCTATATTTCTCTATTTCCTCTAAACTGATTTGATTAAATGCAATATAATATTTTTCTAAGTAAGAAATTTTAATACATGATGCTTTATACTGCCTGTTGCCTCTGAGCTTTATCAGTACATTCAGGTAGTATCGGTCTAATTACTTCATTACAAGATTTCCCATAAAATTTCATTCAATGGTATTAGCATCTATTATTGAAAGCCACCTAAATATTTTTACTAAGAGTTTAATAATTATGACTCTATAATTCTGTCATTTATCCTGAATTTTTTAGCTTGAAATCGTCTATAGAGCAAAACTTTTCCTTATCACTTATTTGGTTACCTTGAAATATAATTCATGCAGAAATATAAAATAAATATTTTCTTAATTTATAGAAAATGCAAAGCCAGAAACAGGAAAGAGTGTACAGATTATGCCAAATTATTTTTCAGAGTAGGTATGTTATTTTCTATCCACGAGAAGTACTGTATAAGTGATCACATTAACCCTCATCCTCACCAAGACAAGATGTTAACAAACTGTTTTTTCCCACTGTAGTGAGTTATAAATAATCTCTCAATATGGTTTTAATTTTTATTTACCTGATTATTTATTAGATTGGGCATCTTTAGTTGGCTGTTCAGATTTTCTTTCTGAAAAGTACCTATTAAGATTTTTTCCTATTATTTAAAGTGAGTTATTATTCTTTTTCCTGTAAGATTCCTTTTATTTTATTTTATATTGACTAATCCTTTGCCTCTCATGTGTATTACAAAATATCATCTCTCAGTGTGTAGTTCTTTTTTTTTTCATTGATTTGATGGTCAGAAATCAGAAGTTCTGATAATCTTTTTAATGTATTTTAAACTTTATCTCTGCAGTTTGCACTTTTATGTTTCGTTTAATAAATCTCATCCTTTTTGGAAGTCATAAAGATACGTCTTATATGATATTATACTTTTGCTTTTGATTTTACATCTTTAACTGCCCAACATTAATATAACATATGGTAGTTAGGTAGTTGTTATTAGGGGAAAAAAGTCCCTTTGGTATATGGAGTTCCATGCTTAGTTTGATTCAGAACTAAAGCCAAAATTTGAAATTAGGTATTTCATTAAGTCTCTATATTCAAACCTTTTGGCATGGTCTTTTAGTCTGTGTGGAAACAAAAGTTATTTCTGTAATTAGAGTCATTTTCATTTTTTACTGTGGAAAACACAAATATCAGTAGACAGCTACTACTATTATGAAATGCAGCAGAGAAAGGGCCCTGACCACTTTGTAATCTTTTCAATTCAGCTTCCATCTTGACTATGTCTTTAAGATTCAGTACTTTCTTTCTGACACACTTGTGAGTAATTATAACTGGTTAGTAGGTTACAGTTGCAAGCACCTTCACACTTCCCTATTGATATGGGTATGACAAGCGTTATTCTTACCATCTGAGAGAGAATAAAATAAAGAGTAAACCACCTACTTAAGTTTATAAGTGAAACATTGATGAGAGAGGAGAAGTTGTTCAGCATTTTAATTCACTGCTCACCTCCAGAACACTATTCCTGGTTTAAGCTTTTATATCCCAAGGACAACTGTGCCGTATAGAGTCATTTCTATTCTTCTGCACATGTCTTTGCTTACATTTCCATGTTTATGCATTTGTTGAACAAAGATCTAAGGCTTGCCTATAGAGCTCTACCCATCCCTCAGATAGAATAATAAAAGGAAGTGAAAACTTTGTCTTTCTTTTTAGAGCTTCCATGAAATATTCATACCCTTGACCAGAAAATGACATAAAATACTAAAGCTTTTAAATGTATTATTGTCAAATTTCCCTTTCAAGCTCATTGTCTGTTTTATTAAAATGTTTAGCGTTCCAAACCCCTGAAGTTAGAATTATAAACATTTATCCTGTGCTTAAGTGCATTCTTTTGAAAGCATTCTGATAACATATTGGCTGGTTCTCAAGTTTAAAAAAAGGAAAAAGAAAAGCAGTAAATGAACTCAGGGCTTCTACAAATAGTATAAAAATATTGCCTACTTTTAAAGTTATTAATCCTTTTCCAAATTCCAATATGGGATTGTTCATTAGAATATTAGTTTAGTCTCTTCAGCAGATATTCATTGAATTTGAGAGGGGGAAATTCTTCGAGCAAAAACCCACTACCTGAGACTTGCCACATTTACCTAACTCCTTGATATACAAAGTATAGTCTATGAACCAGTAGTGAAGCATCTGAGGCTTTCTTCCAACCACTGAATTAGAATCAGCATTTTAACATGATCCTCAAAATTTTCATATGCATATTTGCTTTAGTTTCTGCTGCTATAACAAAATACCACAGACCGGGTAATTTATGAACAATAGAAACTTATTTCTACAGTTCTGGAGGCTGGAAAGTCCAAGACCAAGGTGCTGGCAGAATTGCTATTTGCTGAGGCCTCCTTTCTGCTTCCAAGGTGGTGGCAGAAAAGGACTTAAACTAGTTCCCTCCAGTTTTTTTTATAAGTCACTAATCCATTTATGAGGCAGAGCCATTATGACTTTCCAAAAGCCCTACCACATTATACACCACAATGGGTAGTGAGTTTTAACATACATTTTGGAGGGGACACATTCAAACCATAGCAATATTAAATTTTGAGAAGCATGCTCTAGACTGGTGCTCTCTAATAGGGTAGCTACTACTTGCATATGGCTATTGAGTACCAGAGGTATGTATAACTCTAAATTAAGATTTACTGTGAGTGTAAAATGCACACTTGATTCTGAAGACTTATCATAAAGATACAAAATTTCTTCTTAGTAAATTTATATGACATGTTAAAATAATAATGTGATAGATATGTTAAGTTAAAAAATACAT